AAAGGACTGAGCTAGGGCCAGGCCCCCTGGAATTATAATTTTATATTTCCAAACATGGGAAGTTTTTAAGTTATCTTTTTATTATTAAGTCCTAAATTAGCTACAGCAACATAAAAAATGTGATCTGTAATGATTCTTTGAAATTTGAAGTTTTTATAACATATAAACAACTAATTTCCATAACATGTAAAGAGTCGTAATAAGTATTTAAGACAAAGGCCAAAAAACACAGTTTTTTAAAAGGGACAAAAGATAAAGAAACATAAAAACAACATAAATCTAAAAGGCTCCTTAGCTCAAAACGTTACCTAACTTCACTCATAATGAACAAACAAACAATATGGTCTACAAGCGCTTTTTTTCTTTTTTTTAACTCATTGGATTAGTAAAGTTTTTTAAAAAACAAAACAACTTTGGTGGTACCAAAGATTGAACTCAGGTCCTTGTGCTTGCCAGGCAAGCACTTATTGTACTGAGCTATCTCCACGGCCCTAAAAAAAACTTTTGACAATATTCTGAATTATTGAGGGTATAAGGAAAGAAGCAAAGTTATACATCACCTCCAAGAATAAAACCCATCACAATTAGGAGAAAAATCAGTAAAACCTATCAAAACTTTCAACTCATTCATGGTTTTATTCTAGAAGGTCATCTCTAGGAACCTCTTACTGATATTAAGACATGTACAAAGCAATCTTTATAGGACATTCATTAAGAACTATTTGTAATAGCAAAATATTAGAAACAGTTTATTACAAATTGTTACAACTGTACAATAGGACACTAAACAGCCATCCTTGAAACAAGAATGAAATACTCTTATGTACCATAAGGGAAGATACCTAAGATACATATTAGGTCAACATTCCAAGGTAAGAAGGGCTGCGACCACTTATGAAAAAGTTAGAAAGAATGCTGTCACAAAACGCACACACACAACATGCTTGTGTGCGCCACACAGCACCAGGCTGCAGCCGTGCCAGCTCCAGGATGCTCAAGAAGCCGGCCACCAATTATTTCTCAATACTGGTTGTGGAACAGGAGCAGAAACTTTACCGTAAAATTGTATAGTATCTGTTGAAAACATTTTTAAATTCTATTTTATTTTGTCTTTAAAATTTTCTTCTGATTCTTTTCCCTAGTCCTGGGAATGGAGCCCCAGAAACCAGGGCCTCATGACTGCTAGGCAAGTGCTCCACCAAGGAAGTACACCAGCAGCCTAAAAGCGATGCTTTTTGTTTTCGTGTTTAGGGTAGGGTCAGATGGGATCCTCCTGTTCTCAGCTTCCCAAGTGCTGGGATTATAGGCATGTGCCACCACACCTAGTCTCAGTCCCGTCTCAGTGCACCCCAGGGGCGGGGCCCACACAGCACCCCCGACCGTGGCTTCTGCGCTCTGCCTAAGCAGGCACTTTAGCCCACTGAGCTACCTCACCAGCCCCTTAAAGGCCATTTTTCAATAAGCCTGATTAAATAAGGTGGTTTCTACACAGAAATGCAAACCTGCCAGTAGTAAAGAAGATGGTAAGTGAATAATAGTTCTAGCATAGTGATAGGACTGTAATAGTGAAAACCGACTCTCTTTAGTTACTACAAAAGTCTGCTTGTGAAGCAAGTGTCCTATGATTACATGACCTACAGGCTTACCCTGCTCAACTTGAAGTCTCCCAGTGGACTGCGTAAAGCCAATTCCATTATCCGCTACACACTGATACAGTCCAGAGTCATCCATGGTGACAGCAGTGATTTTCAGTTTGTTTCCTGCAGTTAGATGTCGGGGGGAAGGATGAATGGGCTGCGCATTATGAAACCAGGTACAGTTGGGGACTGGGTTCCCACGAACAGCACAGGTAAAATGCACTGTGGCACCCAGAGGCACCGTTTGGTCCTGTAGTCCTTTAGAAATTGAAGCGTGTTCTGAAAGTAAAACACATAAAGTAAACTGTAGTCCCAAGATATATGTTTTAAATTATCACACAAGTCTTATAAAATCTTTCTACCAATAACAACTTGAAAACAAGTTGTATTCTTTATTGTCATTCTTCCATCTGCTGTGATCATCAAGAAAAAATCAGGAATATATTTTAACTTCCCACTAATAGGATAAAGCATATGTTACTAATAAGTTATAGTCTCCTTTTTTAGTTTGATCCACCCGCTTCTCTCCCCTAACACACATGAATATACACATGTGCACACAAATACTTTCTGATCCTGGGCTTCTCGTAGCATTTACTTCAGGTGATTAACTTAAAGTAATAGTCTCCCTAGATTTCATGCTAAACAGGAGCCAAAGAAGAAAAATTCTTTTCATTTTAAATTATTTTTATGGCCAGTTCATCTTTGAAATTAGGTACATTAAGAAGGAAAAAAAACCCACAAATCGGGCCTTACATACACCTCTCAGCGAATTCTTACAGTTCTCTTGCCATCACCTTGCTGCTAACTACCTGCGACTATTGTGTATACCTAAAATATACCAATAAAATATGACTTTAAAAAGATACACATTAAAAACATAGGATTAAAATAATGCAAATTTTATGAGCTAACCTAGATGGAAAGCATGCCAAAAGGGGAAAATTTTTTAAATTAAACAGACTGAGTGTTTTCTAAGGTAACAGTTTCCAGCTACGGCCGGACACAGCAGACACAACTCAGAAGCTTCTGCTGAAGTGTGAGTCATGAAGAGGGGAGCCTGCGCTGTGCATCAAGTAATCAGGTTGGGGCGGGGTCCTAAGACACCCCTGAGCACTGTTCTGTGCCAGCCAGAAGCAGCCCAGTTCCAGGCTTGAGAAAAATGATCACTGTTCTGGCTCCTGGTGCAGATATTTCTAGATAATTCATGTTTCATTCTGAGCCCCACAAATATCCTTCTGATCTGCAAAACGTTCAGATTTGAAAACTAAACAAAAGAAACACTAGAGAAGCAACGTCTTACCAAGCACATTAACCATGTAAGTGACATGCTTTATGTCTCCAGACCTGTTGCCCACCACACAGGAATAGTTTCCAGAGTCTGCCGGGTCAATGCTTGCTGTGGCAAGGTGGGAATAGAGGCGCCTCCAATTGCTCCCCAGCACAGCGTCTTGGCCCTCCCGCAGCCAGTGCACTTGGGAGGCCGGGACCCCTGTCACCACGCACTCCAAAGTTACAGGGCTGTGAGAAAGCACAGCTAACGCCTGGGAAAGGGTGGGGTGAAGAATGTGAAAACCATCTGGCGAAGGGCCTGGAAGAGGATGAGAACACAAAATACCATCACTACAGTTCACAGCCAATCTTCCTCAGCACACTTTGAGCATCACCACGTTCCCACTTACTTTTCTTTATACAACAAGGGCCAACTGGGTAGCAAAATCATACTCAGTGAAGTTTAAAATGAAGACTTTGTGGTCCTTCGGAGCTACTTCTGAGTTGGAATTTTGGAAATGTGAAATTCTCAAGTCTAGAAACCCCTCCTTTATACTGCTGCACTGATGTGACCTCAACTAAGAGCCACAATCTAAAGCCAGCCATGATTTTTATCATACCTGATATGAAAGGAATGAGAATAGATACATCTTTTTCTCACAATTCACATTTGAATTTGATTACCACCAATTTGATTACCACCACTATAAGGTTTTTATATTTTAAAAATATGCATGATACTACTCTATAATCCACTGATACATTTACTTTGTTTGTAAGACTTTGCTAAGATAAAGCAAACAATATCTGAAAAAAGAAATGAAAAAGAAAATGAACTGTTCTGGGCCAGCTTTTTACGAGCAACACTTCTGAGAACTAGTTACTGTCTTTCTCCCAAATACTTACGACTCACAAGGAGCTTCTGGCCAATAGGCTCAACTTTGAGTTCATTGGTGACAGGATTGTAAGCTGCACATTTGTACGATCCTTTATCTTCTGAGGATATATTCAAAATCTGAAGGTTTCCTGATGGGAGGATTATATACTTCCCTGAGAGAGGAAAGGAGTCCAGTTAGGCCTCACGCTTTCGAAGATCATCACAACACAACTAAAAGGAGCAAAAGTTAACAGCTGTACTTTAGATTGACATAGAAGACCAGCAACAAATAAGTGATTAAGAAAAATGCACTAGATCAAAGAAAGAGAAAGTGAGGCAGAAAAGAAAACCAAAGGTTAACAGTACCAGTGGAACAAAACCAGAAACATTTTTAACAGAAGATGAGTTTGAAAGCAGAAGTGTGTTTGGACAAAAATACAATGACCGCAGCTACCACCTTGTCAAATGTCTACGTGTAACGCCAGGTGCTTGGTAAGCCTTCACCGCCTACTTGCTCTTTTCAGTAACTATACGCCGGGTAGCTATTTTCTGCTAGGCCTGGTTCAGGCACAGGTGACACAGCAACGGAGGAAGCAGATCAGAACGCTGCATTCATGCAGCTAACATTCCACAGGAAAGGGGTACGGAGAAAAGGGACACAGCAAACAAGCAGGCAAAAGTAGGCAGAAGACCTATCAGAAAGGATAAATTCCTTAAATAAAAACAAAGCTGAACTAGAGCAACAAGGGCTATTTTAGAGAGGCCCAGGCAGGCAGTCTGTTGTTCCTAAGGAATGAGAGCTGAGTGGGGGCCAGGATGAATCAAGGCAGCAAGCTCTTGGGGTCTGCAACTGTGGTCACTCCTGTACACACAGAGCTCGCTAGTGGGCTATGTAATAAGCTTCTGTGTGTGCTATTGGCTTCTCACGAAAGGACTCACCTGTCGAACGCTTCAGCCATCTTCCCCGGATCTTATAGCGCACTTCGGCTTTGGGGTTACTAGGCGGTACCTGGCAGCCAATGAAACCCGTGCTTTTCTCTTCCGCTGTAATAACATGCTTTGCTGATGAGTCAAAATCACCAAGAACTGAAATAATAGATAAATAAATAAATGCAAAACTGAATCCTTAGGAGAAATTTTTAAATCAGAAACATTTGCAGTATAGTCTGGTATAGCAACTAATCCCAGTCCTGACAGTAGCATGATCTTTGTATCTGAGAAAACAGCTGAGGCTACCTCGAAGGCTACCAGCTAAGTTGTTACTCTTTTTTTTCAGGTATCACTGTTTTCAGAAAACTGTAAGAAAAACAAATTTCTTCTAAAACACCAGGAAGAACTATAAAGCATAATTATTCCCATTCTGTCACACTAAATCCTTTTCAATCCAGGCTCTCATTAAAGTCATTTTCTCCACTGGCGATTACTCAAATTGCAATAAACTGGCTCCTGGGAATGAACCTAGGACATCAAAAGCCAAAGAAGTGTAACGTTTAAATGTTTTGAATATACTGACTCAGTCTCTGTTCCTTTCCGTTTAAATTCACTTCAGATGAGCCCGCACGAAGGGCTCTTTATTATCTCCCAGTGCCCCAGGAATGCAGCAGCCACCGCTAGGAAGCCAGCGCTCCAGGGTGTGTCTTGGAGCTGTCTATGGGTCACAGCTCTACGAAAACATTTACTCTTCTCAGTTATGACAAACTCACTACTCCCAGGGAATCTGATTTATTCTGTAAGCAGGGGTGCCCGCACAAAAACGTTTCCCATTACTGGGAGCCATCACCATTTGAAAGGCAGATGGCTCAAACTTACTAAGAAAAACCACACATTCCAGATTTTCCATAAGTTTAATACTCAAAATTCCTTTCTTTAAAGTCAGTTATTTTTTTTCCTGTGTCTTTAGCCTGGTTTCAATTAAACAAACAATCACTCAGTAATCAAGGCAAACAAAACAATGAGATGCGACAGAAAGATAAAGCACGGCATGAAGTAACGTTAGTGTCAAAACAGCTTTTTTGTTTTTACTGACATTAAGGACATTTAAAGACTCACAAAGAAATTGTTTAGAACTCATTGAAAACTGTCTTATCCAGGAAACTGAACAAGCACCCCTCACTTTCCATACCCTCACTACAGGTGAAGACGCAGGCGGGCCACAGAAGTGCAGGTGCACGTTCTCAAGTTATATGCACCATCAAGTCAAGGCTGGGCAGGAGCTCCTAAGACTCCTACCAACACACGTCTCATGCCTGCCGAAGCCCGTGCTTTCCCGCAGTTCAGAAACAGCACCAACAGCTAACGAGGCCGGAAGGAACCTACCTGCGAGGGACACTGTTGCGGGGCTGCTCACAACTGCGCCTATGCTGCTGTTGGCAACGCACTGGTAGGAACCCGAGAGGGAGGGGTTAAGAGAAAGAATCGCCAAAGTCCCCTGCTGAAGTTTAATCTGCTCCAGGTTTCCATCCAATCTCTTTCCATTATGCAACCAGGAGATGTGAGCAGTCACAGGGTTAGCAGAACAACGTAGTATTACAGGTCCACCAAGCTTCTGGACAGCCGGAAGTGGCTCAGAAATAAAGTAAGGCACCAGGTCTACAAAGGAAATGGACCCATACACAAGAGGGTGAAGAGGGCGAGGAGAAGGACAGACAGAGAGAAACAGGGGTACATCAACTGCCTTTCTGTGGAGTACAAGGAAGGCAATCTCTTCATCTATGTATGTGGAAGCTCTTGACGCTTCAGAATTTTTATGAGCCCATCTTTTGGAAGAAAACAGAGCAATTGTATTAGCCTAGGACATATGTTAAAGTTAAGTAAAACAGACAAGAATACTTATAAATAAATATAGATAAATAGATAGCTAATACTAATTTTATGAATGGAAAAAGTAAACTGCTTTTTAACAAAGTAATTTGTAAGAAATGAAAGTTAAATGCCTGAAAAATAAAGATGCCTTTCAAAAAAGAACTCTCTATTTTAACAATAAGATGTTCTGTAAATAAAGACCGATACTTCATTATTTTATGATTTTAATATAAAATGTTTTATTATGAATATAAGATATTTTAATATAAAATACTCCACAATTAAGAAAATAGTTAAGCCATACTGAAATACAAATGCTGGCCTTTCTGGGCATGAAGGCTTCCTATTTATATCTAGTATTTGACATAGTTTCATTTGTTGTATCTATTCCTCCAGGAACTTAAGCAGGCAAGAGTGAGTCTTGCACCAGAATAACAAAAGAGATTCCCTCCTCCTCCTTCCCAACATTCAAGGGAAGCAGCAATGATGTTGATCTGATGGGATAAAATACTTAAAAGAAAAAAAACAATAGTTCTATCTCTTTTAATCAGAAATAAGGATTAAAGAAAGTGTCTTTTTGATAGCTCAGTGGAATAAGTGCATGCCTGGCAAGCGCAAGGTCCTGAGTTTGATCCCTGGTACCAAAAAAAAAAAAAAAAAAAAAATCATAATAGAAATAAAACCAATGAATCAGTTTTCCTTTACCAAGTCTAATGTTACTACACAGGGCTTTTAACCGTTAATAAATACTATTCAATCAACAAACATCACGATATTTATACATGTATCTTCACTCAAGTCTAAAAAACAATAAACATCACAATACTTGTATATACATCTTTACATAAGTCTAAAGTAAAAAACAATACGTGTGGGCCATTTTTCAGTCTGAGGCTTGTATAGTCTTAACAATAAACAGATTCAAACTTTCCAGTAACTCAAAGAAGTAAATTAGCTGAGGTCAGGAGAGAAAGTGCCAGGCTTGGCATGTGAACCAAGCTCACTCACTACAAGCTGAACATTATACCATACTGATTCTACAGCTTCTCTCTGGTGGTGTGTAGTTGGCACTTTATTCCTGCTATCCTTTCCAAATTCAGAAATCAGTATGCAACGTGTAGCACATCACCTCACTGATAAAAAACACAACTAAAAATACTTTTAAGGTGACAAATTACAAAAACAATAAATTATAAGGACAACGATGGAAAGAGCTCCTAATGCCCAAAGCACTACTAAGAAGTCCTTAATGTCCTTAATCAAGTTTTTAAATCATGTTGCACATCAAGAAAATTTCAGAAACATTTTGCACACTGCTATTATTGGCAACATATTGAAATCAAAATTTGCTTTTTACATGATAAGGATGAGGGAAGGTTTCACCCAAAACCCCACAACTGTCCTCTTACCTGAACTCGCAGAAGAACATGGAATCAAAGGGATAACGTAGAGCAGCGTCCATAAGGGTCCAGGATCTGGATGCATAGCGCCAGGTTTCCAGAGAATTAGTAAGACAGATTTCCAGAGAAAACCCAGGCCTTCACTCACTAGAAAACATTAAAAAGAAAAAGAAAGACAAAAACTAAACCACAAAATCCACTGAAATCTTTCTTCTGAATCACCGGAGCTGTGAGTGTGGTGGTTGCCCACTCCCGTGAGAGCTCTGCACAGTTTCTGTCACCTCCTGGGCACTTAACGATCCACAGCACCTCAACTCACAAATCTAGAGATATTAAATTACAGTTGGAAGTTTTATTCATTCTCATACAACACCTTTTATTCTAGAGTGCTAGTCATTCCAAATGAATACCTCCAACTGCCTCTAGTATCTATTTATACAATTCACACGCAACTAGGCAAGTTGTATTCTTTCTCATCACTCCCAAAACAACAAAGTCATACCCACAAATATATGGTGCTTCCTATGTGCCAGGCCCCAGGTCACTGCTTCTGATATACTGATCCTCCTCTGACACAGGTGTTTCTGATTTCTCTTCCCTTCCCTCAGAGGGAGACTTGGGCTCATGGATTGTTCAAACAGAAAGAATACCAAGTGTTGGCCTATTCTGGAATTGAATTTGACATTCAGGGGTCACAGTTGTATCAGCCAGGAAAAGAACAGTGAGGGATGAAGACAGGAAGGCTGGGCCAGACTGCACCCAGTGTTGAAGGTTGTGTGAAAGTTATAGAACTTATTCTAAATGCCTTTGAGGACTTAAGAGAAGGAGAGTGATGTATCTCATTTATGCTTTAAAAAGACCACCAGCTAATGGAAAATATGCAAAAATGAGAGAGGCAAAATGACAGGGAATAACATGGGAAGAAATCCAGAAGAATGCCACATCCAGGGAGTGAAAACCATTTCTGGAAGAGAGTTGTCAAAGTCTCCAACACCAGAGAAATACATTGGGAAATACATTATATTAAGGAATTCAGGAGACAGCAGGGCATGGTGGGTGAGGCCAGCCAGTTTTCATCACCTATGGAGGCAGTGAAAACCACCAGGAGGCAGAGTATCCTAAAGGCAGAACAAAGATTTATTGAGGTGTGGGTGTGGAGTGGGAAATAAAAGAATGTGTCAAGGGTAACTTTTTAAAAGTAAGGAAGGGGCCACAGAGACAGCTCAGTAGTCTAAGCACCTGCCTAAGTAAACTCAAGCACTCAGGTTGAATCCTGGCACCACACGCCATGCTGCTCCCACCCCAGGTACACTGAGCCAGCCACCAAGACAGCATGGTGGCACATACCCGTAACCCCAGCACTGGGGAGGCTGAAACAGGAGAATCACGAGTCCAAGCTGTGTAGTTAGACCTTGTACCAAATGCATAAAAATAAAGGTGAAGAAGACCAGAGTAGGGGACACAGAATGACAAGGGAGAGAGCCAGCCGCTCAGTTTGGCCAAGGTAAGTTTGAGATAGCCGTAAGACACCCAAGCGCTACACTGTGACATGGATCTGTGAGCCTGGCACCGTGGGGAGAAGTGAATTCCTTAATATAATGTATTTCCCAGATGTATATTAAACAGCAGTAGTGAAAACTACCATCTCACTTGAATTTAGTATATTTTAGTTATATTTTTAATTTCTTGTGCATTTATTTATTCTTATTGTTAAAAATAAGCAAAAGAACCTTAAGTGCTTGCCATATGCCAGGCATTACGTCACACCAGGTTATTATTTCTGCCAATTCTGCCCCATGTTAGACAAAGAACCCACAAGTACACTCAACACGTAACAACTGCCGTATTAACGATACTGGGGAAGTGAAAACCTTTTCTGCACCCTCATCCCATAAAGAACGGTTAACCTTAACACTGGGTGAAACAGCACACTAACAAAGCAAGATGCCTTACACGTGACTCTACTCAGTCAACAGCATCTCGCAGGATCTGCCATTCTCTGGGCCAGGTACAGCAAAACCTAAGCCGCAAACTCAAGTCTATGGTTTACTGACATCAGGTCACGGACTGCCTTTCTCCTTCTTGCTGCTGATCTCCTTTGAAAAGTAGGAGAGGACACACGGACTGGCAGCACTCACCAACAGAAGGCCCCAGCTGTGGGCAAACCCGTTTGGCTTATTTGAACTCTCACTTGGTTCCAGGATAAGAGGCAACACACACTGCTAGTGAGCAGTCAGGGCAGTGTAAACACTCAAGCCACTTGCTAACAGGAGACTCTTCCCCTAGAGAAGGAGGCCAGGGAGGGTTGCTTCCACCTTTCCTGGAATCTGTCTTTATTAGAAAGCAGTGAAACAAACTTCAGAGGCAAGTTTAACCTTAGCACATGACCTACTACAAAGTTTCACCGCTCGCTGTTGCTACCTAAGTAATATCACCAGGAATCTCCTTTGTTACATCTGTCTGCACTGGCTACTCAACATACTCTCAGGTGATTTGGGAAGTTAGTAAGAATCTCTGGTCATAAAAGCTGTTTACTAAATATTTGAATTGGCTTGTATTTATCCATATCAAGCTTGCCCAGTTTTTTAGAAAACTGAGACAGTGAGAGTAAGGAGCTGGGAGGCTGTTGTTGCTATACAGTTCAGATAGCCTGAAATTATACTCCACAGTTGCCATCAGGCCCTGAGGTGCAACCCACTGACCACAGAGGACAGGAGATGTGCCCAAAAGCACCTCGGGAAGATCACTCAGTGCTGTGTCGCTTTCAAAATACTAGATCAAAAAAGAAGCTGCTTCATGAGATTAGTGTCATTGATATTTGACTAATAAGTTATTACAAAGCCAAATATGTATTACCTATAATTCCCCCTGTACTTCCCTAGCATGAACAATTACTTTTGTTTAGCCAAGTTTATCCCAATTAAACGAGGCTCCCATCACTTGACACATAGGAGCATGGACTATAAATGTGTATCATCTCTCATCCATTAAAAACTGACCTTCAAAAGACAACAGTCATCAATTCCTCAATTAGGATTGAGGAACTGGTTGTTCTCCCACCTCCTCTCACTCCATCTGCAAATAACACCGCAGAGACAAAGTCCAGGAGAGGAGCACACCGACCCAACACCCTCACAGCCCACTGGGCACAGCCTTTGCCGAAGGCTGCCTGACCTCTGTTCTAGAATGCACAGAATTTAAATATCCTCAGTAAAACCTGAATTCTGATGCAAGTCACATCCGAACAGATTCTGGATTGAAATCATATTGTCATTTTATAAACTTCAGCATTTCTCTCACTCGAACTTCTTAGAAATACCCAGTGTTGAGCCAGCCAACTAGTTCAGCACATTAAGTGCCTGCTTTGGCAGATGCAGGGCTGGGGGTTCAATCCCCAGTGTGCCGTGCCAGCCCTGCCCCCAGGGCATGCTGAGATGGTGATTGAGACGGGGCACAGTCGCACATACCTGTAATACCACTGCTTGGGAGGCTGAAAGCAGGAGGATCATCACGAGCCTGATCTGTATAAGGAGACCCTACAGACCCTCTACTAAATACATTATATACACACACACACACACACAAATCTCCATCCCATGTTGTCAGCAATGCTTGGTGCTATTTTAAACAAAACATTCAAGGTTTTTTTCCCATATATTTCACAACTGTATCGGAGTGACCCTCCTATCTCAGCCTCCCCAGCACTGAGATTATAGGCATGTGCCACCACGCTGAGTCTCGGTGGCTGGCTTAGCATGCCCAGGGCGCAGAGCCAGTGCAGCATGTGGTGTCGGGGATTGAACCCTAGTCCCTACACTTGCCTAAGCAGGTGCTTAGTCTGCTGAGCTATCTCGCCTGCCCACAACAAATATTTCTGATTTTTTTTGCAGAACTGGAGATTGAACTCAGGCCCTTGAACCTCCCAGGGAAGCGTTTATTCCACTGAGCTATCTCTCTGGCCCCTTGAATATTTTTAAAGTAGAAACTTATTAACAGAAAATTTCTAAAGCTGCCCATTGAACAAAAGAACTTATAATTCAGTACAGAATGTGTGGAAAATACATTAATGTACAAAAAAACCCTCCAAACATACAGATAACTTCAGTACTTTGATACATTTCTTTTCTTTTTTGTATTTTAGGGAAGGGCCTATAGGGTGTTCCGGGTCTCACTACTAGATCAGACTCACAGTGATTCTCCGATTTACAGCCTCCCAAGTGCTGGGATTATAGGTATGTGCCACCACGCCCAGTCTCAATCTTGTCTTAGCATGTCTCCAGCTGGCAGGGTAGACCCGGGGATCAAACCCACCCATCCACCCCTCCACCTCCCACACCCCCAACTCCTCCCCCTTCCCCCCCACCCCCATGCTCACCTGCTTGTAGGTGCTTTAATCTGTTGAGCTATTTGGCCGGCCCTGATACATTTCTTTTCTAATCCTTATCATGTATGTATATACTTACACAGCTGAGATCATAACATGTAATAACTTTAAATCCTTTTCATCATTAGATATCAAACGATCCTTCATGGCCATTATTTGTCTCCCATCCAAGTATGAACCAGGACCGACGCTGCTTAGCTTCCAAGATCAGAGGAGACCAGGAGCATTCCAAATGGTATGGCCGTAGACTCATGGCCATTATCTGTAACAGCTGCAGAAACTCAATCATCGGATGGATATTCTAATCTACTTAATCATTTCCTTTTTATAGTTACACTACTTTTTAACATATGTGTATGTTTGCTATTACACATGACACTGCCATGACTGACCATCACTGCCCATAAATCTTTAGCCACTCCTAATTATGCCCTTAGATTTTTAGAAGAGGAATTACTGGGTCAAGAAATAGAAACACTTTTGAAGCTCTTGATACATCACCAAGCTATTTTCAAAGATGATGATGCCAGTGTAAAACCCTACACCAACAAGCACATGATGGTAACTCCTCCCATCTGTATGTTGTATCACCGCTTAGACCGCGGTAAGTGAACAGCTGAATGAAACACTTACATTTTGAGCTATTAATTAAAATGCTTGATGGAACATTACAAAAATGTTTACTGTCTAATCTATTAAGAATCTATTTTACCAATACTCTAACTTACACCAAACTAACAGCAAAAGAATGAAAGGCATGGAG